AATTTGAATGTAATAGAATCACCCAGAGTGCTGTTAGGGTATTGCTGGATATATAACTAAATGCTGTTACTTTTGTGCATATATTGTGAAAAGAATACTACAATCAGGCTAAATAACTTGTCTATCAACCTCTACAAGGTTCCCTTTTGTATGTGACTGTGTCTGTTTTAAGCATTTTTAAGGTCTATCCTCTTAAGAACTTCAAGTATCAGTTCAGTTCAGTTGCTCAGTCGGATCCGACACTGCACTGACCCCATGGAGTGCAGCATGCCAGCCTTCCCTGTCCTTCACTAACTCCAGGAGTTTGTTCAAACTCATCTTCATTGAGTCAGTGATGTCATCCAATCATCTCATTCTCTGTTGTCCCCTTCTCCTTCTGCCTTCAGTCTTTCCCAACATCAGGGTCTTTTCCAGTGATTTGGCTCTTTGCATCAGGTGGCCAAAGTATTGGAGCTTCAGCTTCAGGATCAGTCCTTCCAATGAGTATTCAGGACTGATTTCCTTTAGGATTGAGTGGTTTGATCTTCTTGCCATCCAAGGGACTCTCAAGAGTTTTCTCCAACACCACAGTTCAAAAACATTAATTCTTCAGTGCTCAGCTTTCTTTATGGCCCAACTCTCACATCCATACACGACTACTGGAAAAACCATAACTTTGACTAGATGAACTTTTGTCACAAAGCAATGTCTCTGCTTTTTAATACACTGTCTAGGTTTCTCACAGTTTTTCTTCCAAGGAGCAAATGTCTTTTAATGTCATGGCTGCAGTCACCATCTGCAGTGATTTTGGAGCCCCCCAAAATAATGTTTCCCTTGTTTCCCCATCTATTTGACATGAAGTGATGGGACCAGATGCCATGATCTTTGTTTTTTGAATGCTGAGTTTTAAGACAGTTTTTTTTCACTCTCCTCTTTCACTTTCATCAAAAGGCTCTTTAGTTCCTTCCTCTCTATCTGCCATAAGGGCATTGTCATCTGCGTATCTGAGGTTACTGGTATTTCTCCTGGAAATTTTGATTCCAGCTTATGCTTCATCCAACCCAGCATTTCACATGATATACTCTGCATATAAGTTAAATAAGCAGGGTGACAATATCCAGCCTTGATGTACTCCTTTCCCAATTTGGAACCAGTCTGTTGTTCCATGTCCAGTTCTAAATGTTGCTTCTTGACCTGCATAAAGGTTTCTCAGGAGGCAGGTCAGTCAGGTGGTCTGGTATTTCCCATCTCTTAAAGAATTTTCCAATTTGTTATGATCCACACAGTCAAAGTCTTTAGCATAGTCAATGCAGCAGAAGTAGATGTTTTTCTGGAATTCTCTTGCTTTCTCTATGATCCAACGAATGTTGGCAATTTGATGCCTAGTTCCTCTGCCTTTTCTAAAGCCAGCTTGAATGTCTGGAAGTTCTTGGATTATGTACTACTGAAGCCTGGCTTGGAGTATTTTGAGCATTTCTCTGCTAGCATGTGCGATGAGTGCAATTGTGTGGTAGTTTAAGCATTTTTTGGCATTGGGTTTCTTTGGGATTAGTATGAAAACTGACCTTTTCCAGTTCTGTGGCCACTGCTGAGTTTTCCAAATTTGCTGGCATATTGACTGCAGCACCTTAACAGCATCATCTTTTAGGATTTGAAATAGCTCAACTGGAATTCCATCACCTCCACTAGCTTTGTTCATAGTGATGCTTCCTAAGGCCTACTTGACTTGGCATTCCAGAATGTCTGACTCTAGGTGACTGATCACACACATCTAGGTCATTAACATATTTTTTGTATAGTTCTTCTGTGTATTCTTGCCACCCCTTTTTAATATCTTCTGCTTCTGTTAGGTCCATACCATTTCTGTCCTTTGTTGTGCCCATCTTTGTATGAAATATTCCCTTGATATCACTAATTTTCTTGAAGAGATCTCTAGTCTTTCCCATTCTATTTTTTTCCTCTATTTCTTTGCATTGATCACTGAGGAAGGCTTTCTTATCTCTCCTTGCTATTCTTTGGAACTCTGCATTCAGATAGGGATGGGTGTATTTTTCCTTTTCTCCTTTGCCTTTAGTTTCTCTTCTTTTCTCAGCTATTTGTAAGGCCTCCTCAGACAACCATTTTGCCTTTTTGCATTTCTTTTTCTTGGGGCTAGTCTTGATCTCTGCTTCCTTTACAATGTCGTGAACCTCCACCCCCAGTTCTTCAAGCCCTCTCTCTATCAGATCTATCCCTTGAATCTATTTGTCACTTCCACTGTATAATCATAAGGGATTTGATTTAGGTCATACCTGAATGGTCCAGTAGTTTTCCCTACTTTCTTCAATTTAAGTCTGAATTTGGCAATAAGGAGTTCATGATGTGAACCACAGTCAGCTCCTGGTCTTTTTTTTTTTTTTTTTTTTTTGCTGACTGTATACAGCTTCTCTATCTTTGGCTGCAAAGAATGTAATCAATCTGACTTCGTTATTGACCATCTGGTGATGTCCACATGTGGCAACTTCTCTTGTGTTGTTGAAAGAGGGTGTTTGCTATGACCAGTGCATTCTCTTGGTGAAACTTTGTTAAGCTTTGCCCTGCTTCATTTTGTACCCCAAAGCCAAACTTGCCTTTTACTCCAGGTATCTCTTGAATTCCTACTTTTGTATTCCAGACCCCTATGAGGAAAAGGATATCTTTTTTTTTTTTTTTTTGGTGTTAGTTCTAAAAGGTCTTAAAGGTCATCATAGAACCGTTCAACTTCAGCTTCTTTGACATTAGTGGTTGGGGCATAGACTTGGATTACTGTGATATTGAATGGCTTGCCTTGGAAACAAACAGAAGTCAATTTCAGGTATACAATACAGTATTATTAACTATCATCATAATTTTGTACATTAAATCACCAGAACTTATTCCTCCTACATAACTGAAATTTTGTACCCTTTAACCAATATCTTCCCATTTCTCCCATCCTTCAGCTCCTGGAAACCACCAGTCTACTTTGCTTTTATGAGTGTGACTCAAATTTCACATATAAGCTGGATCATGCAGTATTTGTCTTTCTGTGTCTGGCTTATTTCACTTGGCATAATGCCCTCCAAGTTCATCCATGGTGTCTCAATGTCAAGATTTTCTTCTTTGTTTTCCTTCCATTATGTATATTTATCTTTATCCATTCATCCATCCAGTGGATAAAAAATTTCAAGTGAGAAGAGAAACAGAGATCACCCTTTTTACTGTTATGAGTTCTTCAGTATTTGCTGAAGGAGAGCTTCTGAAGATGTGTTTGGGGTACTAATAGCAACCCTCCTCCCCAGGTAACAATCATGAAGGATGTTTATTTAAAATCAGTTTTACTCTCTCTTAGTCACACCTCACATGTAACTGACATTCAGAGAATAAGCTCTGGGTTTGATCCTAATATTTCTACTTACTATAACCATAAGAGAAAAAAATTAGTCACGCAGTTTCTAGTGCTTGGTTGGCATTTAATAAATGTTAGTGCCTGTCCTTCTTCTTGTAGGCCTTTGGAAAAGGAAAGGTAGAATGTTTGAGAAATGTTAGCTGTTGGACTTTACTGAGTAAGATTCCATAACTAACATGTTTATCATATTTAGATGAGACATCGTGCCTTTGTGGTCCCACTGGTTCCCTGCTGGCCTGAGTCTCTGCTGGGACACATTGTGTTTAATGAATGTTAACAAATGGTAATAAAGACCTTTAAGGAGAGGATTAAATGACAAGTCCTCCTTCACTTTCAAGTGGCTTTTATATGAAGCATGAACACAGAGAGCGAACACTTTAAAAGGAATGAATACAAATGAGAATCATCACTGCTTTGCAAGAGGAAAGTTTATTAGTAGATTAACAAAGGGATTTGGGGAACTGCAAGACAGATCAAAGCAGCAGAGAGAACCACAAAACTCCTCATGTGACACCTTCCCTGCCCAAACCTGTCAGACCATCAGGTCACAAGAAATTGGCCTTGAATTAAGAGGATCAGGTGGGCCTGGACAGTCTCTTTTCAGACTATCAATTATGGTGGTGACTGGGGTACTATCCAATGGCTGATGGTTGTCAGAGAGCAGGGCTGGTCCATCAACCGTCCTCTGTCTTCACGCAGTCCTCCTGCTGGCCCTGGCTGTCTAGCAGGGCCCAAAGCGGGAGCGTGGGCCGCAGGGGTTGCAGGGATTGGTGATGCAGGACCCAACTGATGATGCATTGGTGGTGGCGCAGGGATTGCCGGGCAGCCTGGGACACAGAACCATTCGCTCATCAGCATGAGATGGATAATAACAAAAATAAAGGAAGGAGTTCAACCCAAGGAGACAGGGGACAAACAGAAGCCATTCTCTGACTTCTTAGGAAGTCAAGTCTTATTCAGATCACTCCTTCTGCAAAGCTTAGAGATGGGGCAGAAAAGAGCAAAGAAGCCTTGAGATGGAACCCAACTCTATATGCCTGGAGTTGTGGGGAAGGCTCATCCCTCCTTACCTGTGAGACAGATTGATAATATCTACCACACAGATCGTGTTCATGAAAATACTCAGTTAGGTGAAAAGTGCTGGACCCTAGAAGTAGTTGAGTAACCTCCCCTTTTTGATACTCAAATGCTCATCCGAAACGTGGTTGCCCTGATCCCCACTCTGCCTGTCTTGGGAGAATCCCAGCCAGGATCCATGAAACCATAGGTTTGAAAGTGGGGATTAAATCCAAAAGCACTATTCAAGTACATGTGATGATGGTTACAGGTTTGTTTTCTCTTTTGCTGAAGGTACAAAGCTTTATTTACCCATCAACTTCCAAAAGCTCACCAGTGGGGGAAACAATCAAGGCTCAAGAGTATCTTTTGGAGCAGAAAATACCTTTAGGCCTGGCAGTGACAGCAGCAAACACCCTTCACTTCCCACTGCTGCAGTATTAAACTCTAGTCTTTGCAGACATATTGGCATCTGAAACTTGACCTGGGAAACCCCTGTTTTGTCCTTTGGTAGGACCGTGCATGTACCATGAAGGGGAACCACATGCTTGGTACTCACTTGCAGTCCTCGCTGTCCAGCAGCCCCCGGTACGTGTTGATCTCACACTCCAGCCGGGCCCGCACGTCCAGCAGCACCTGGTACTCCTGGTTCTGCCGCTCCAGGTCACTCCTGATCTCCGCCAGCTGTGACTCCACGTTGCCAATCAGGCCCTGCACCTGGGCCAGCTGGCAGCTGTAGCGGGCCTCCGTCTCCGTCAGGGTGTTCTCCAGGGAGTCTCTCTGTCAGGGGGAAAGGGGAGGAAGGTCACAGGGCTGCTCCTTCAGGGGCTTCTCCATCACTTCCAAATAAGTCACAAGCTCTAAGAGCTCAGGAGAGGGTGGCCTGGAGGGCATCCCAGTGCCCCTGACTCCCCGACCTCACCTCCTCACCAGGAGTCTCATCAATACCCACCAGGTTGTGCTGGGCCTGAAGCTCCACCTCCAGGGCATTGACCGTGCGTCTCAGCTCGATGATCTCTGCCTGGCAGGACTGCAGCTGCTCTGAGCTGGACACCACCTGCTTGTTCAGCTCCTCAGTCTGAAACACCAAAGGGCAGAAGACAGGATCAGACCCCGCCTGAAGGGCCCCAAGGAGCTGAGGATCCTGAGAGACCACGTGCTGAGCTGCTCACCTGCCTGATGTACCATTCCTCCACGTCCCTGCGGTTGGTCTCCACCAAGGCCTCATACTGAGCCCTGGTCTCGTTGAGCACGCGGTTGAGGTCCACAGTGGGGGCGGCGTCCACCTCCACGTTGAGGCGGTCTCCCAGCTGGCTCCGCAGGGTGTTGACTTCCTGATGGAGGAAGGGGAAAGAATGAACTCATAGAAAGAAATCTATATATAAATTCTCTTTGAGGGAGTCGAATGTGGTGGAAAGATTGCATTAGAATTTAGGACACATGTTGACATAAAACTTGATGAAGTTACTTCCTATGAGTCAGGCCTCCTGACTGAGAGTCTCCACATCTGTATCATGAGGCTGCTAATCGAAACATTGATTGCTAATGTTTCTTCCCACTCCAAGATTCTACCACTTCTTTTTTACTTTTCCTTTGCTCAGTGATAAACCTGGCATGATAACTGGCTTATAATCGTTGCCACTTAAATGCTACTTAAATAGAGAGAAACTAGGCTTAACTGGTCCCATTTACTTCATGTCTTCTTATCATCACACACTGTCCATGAGTGGTTTTGTCCTCTTCATCAAAATATCTAATAATTGAGACATGCATCTGATATCCTAGTATTACATTCAACCATGAGTCTGAATCAACCATTATTTCAGTGCCTTCATTTCTTCTACTATCCTATCTATCCATCCATCCTTCCATCCATTTATTCTAGCTTGGGTTCTACTATCTAGGGGACACATAAAACAAAGAAGTTTGCTATCTCCTTTCAGTCTCAGTCATTAATGGGAAGACAACCTATTCAGAAGACAACCAATCTTATCAAGAAGTAGAAAGTATTTTAAAGCTCTAGCCCCCAATGGAAATAGATTAGCTGACCACACTCTTTTAGGTAAAAGAAGTAAGCTTCCCCAACAACCCACCAAGGGTGTTTTGAGCATCCAGCAAAATGTTCTCAGCTCTAGGATGTCTAGCAAAGACCTAAAAGACCTACATTATCCTGCTCAGGGAAGTTACAGGACTCTCAGTATAGGGATGTCAGGGGCTGGGACTCTTTTACCTGCTCATGGTTGCTCTTGAGGCAGATCAGCTCCTCCTTCAGGGACTCCACCTGGGCCTCCAGGTCGGACTTGCACAGGGTCAGCTCATCTAGGATCCTACGCAGGCCATTGATGTCTGACTCCACCAGCTGCCTCAAGCCCAGCTCCGTCTGGTACCTTGCACACACAACCAGCAGTCAAAGGAGGTCAAAGAGGGAGACTTTTTCCTAGGCTTTACTTGGCCAGCCCCTTCTAATTCGTTACATTGCAAAATATTTGGAATTTTTGCAGTCTTTTGAAAGGGAAAAAGACCACTGCACAGAGTGAAAAGACTTATTTCCTCCCTGAGACCCACAGAGAAGGTATTGGTGGGGCACCCCTGTATAGTTTTTATTGTTGTTTAGTTGCTAAGTCATGTCTGACTCTTTTGCAACCCCATGGACTGTAGCCGGCCAGGCTCCCCTGACCCTGGGATCTCCCAGGCCAGAATTCTGGAGTGAGGGTGCCATTTCCTTCTCCAGGGGATCTCCCTGATCCAGGGATTATCAAACCCACGTCTCCTGCATTGCAGGCAGATTCTTTACCGTTGACCCACCAAGGAAGCCACTGTATAGTTTAAATCTACCTTTAACTTCATTTTTTCTGATTCCCCATCACAGGCTGCTAACAACTAAGCCCTGTCATCCTCCATTCTCAAGTGAGTTGGTGACTTCACTAGCCCACTATGGACTTCCTCACCTTCCTTTCCAACCACCCTGAGAAGCAATCTGGTATCTTGAGAGCAGCACTGGATTAGAAGGCAGTGAGATTCAGCCCTGCCGTGAGGACAGTGGTAAGCTCTTTAATCTCTCTGAGCCTCGATTTCCTCATTTGTAAAATGGGAACCAAACTGACATGTCAGGGTCACACAGTTTTGAGGACATTAGCCCTCTGTGGCCCCCTAGGCCTGGCAAAGCAATATGGCTATTTTTTCCTACTTCATCTTGCTCCACCCACCCACCCCACCCCCCCGCCCAAAAAAAAAAAAAAAACATGTCATCAGGTTTGCCCAAAGATGAAAAAATGATATAGGTAGAATCACATTGCAAACTATAAAGTCTCATAAAAATGCAATGGATTCTTATGATTATAGTGGTCATACCTAGAAAAACTGATGAATTCTCTGAAATGAATTTTGCCTCCCATTTGTGTCATTTAACTTTTTCCAATGGGCTGATCATAACTAAACTGTATTAAGAGACTGGTGTGGAATGCACTTTTAAAGTTGATCCAGACATTAAGTTGAAAAAGGGGGAGAATAGATGGCTGCTTGAGCTCCTTCACACTAAATTTAAAACACAGAATTCTTGCTTCCAGTAAGGAGACTGCCATTTAACCTAACTCACCAAATGCAAGAAACCTCCCACTATGATCGCAGACAGCTTCTGCTTGCATGCTTCCAGGACAGAGTTCCTCACTTTGCAACTCAGCCTGTCCATTACTAAACTGGTCTGATTATGAGAGAAATCTTACTTGGTCCTGAAGTCGTCTGCAGCCAGCTTGGCATTGTCGATCTGCACCACCAGCCTGGCATTCTCTGCCTTGTTGGCCAGGATCTGGGCACAGGATTAATTGTGAAATCAGTTGCAGTAAGAATGAATGTCTCATAACTTAAAATTAAAAACTATTTTCTTTCAAACAGACATTCCTTCCAAAAAGCTTTGAGTCTTCTCACATTCTCAGTTTGAGGGTAAGGGGAGGATTCATTAATAGAACTGATCATTTCACAACTAAAACAGTCAAGAGGAAATGTGCCTTTGTCATAAATTCTTCTCTTCTTGGCCTGCCTCTTGTTTCCTGCAGGAACTGAACATACTGGGAACCAAATCTCGCACAGGGTGACCAGTGTTCCTGTTTGCTTAGTGGGAGGTGGGGTGCTAAACCCCAAAAGCCCCCAAGAAAACAAAGACAAGTTGGTTATCCTATGCTCACACACCACCATTCCAGCCCTGCTGACCACTCTCCACTCTCCCCTCACATAGCCCTGGACAAAGCTTTTGCACAAAGCTTCTGCCTCTACCTGGAATGCCTGGATGCCCTCACCCACCTAGCAAGACCCCCTGCATAGGCCACATTTCCCCTCCTTCCCCAGTTCCTGCAGGAGTCACTTCTTCCAGGTGCTCCCACAGTAACTGCACCTAGCCAGGTACACATCTTATCACCTTACTGTGGTTTTTTGTTTCCCATCTCCCCTATTACACTGTGAGCTCCTGAAGGAAAGAGGCTCCCACTCAGTACTTTATCCCTTGCTCCAGCACTGTGCCTCATTCTCACTAAATGTCCAGAAATCAGTGCACAATCTCCAAACCCCACACCGCCTTTCTGACACTCACTTTGCCAGAACTGCTGAATGGTGGACAGTCAATTCTGTCAGAGAATCAAGGGCTTGTGCGATTGAATATAAACTCCTCCTCATCCTTCAAACACTGCTCAGATAGTGCCTCTTCTGAGAAGCCCTCCCTGACCTACATGATGTATTAAGCCCCACTTCTATATGCACTATGTACTTATCCCACTTCTACTCCCATATTTTTGGCCCTTAATTCTCACGTGTATGCATGCTTGCTCTGTGTATACTAGGGGGGATTTTGGAGTTGGTGGCTCTTTTACTTTGTTATAGACACACTCTCTTGTTACATCTTTAAATATCACACAGGAAATTCTAGCTCCAAGAAATAATTCAGGTGCATATCATTATGTTTTAATGCTATGCATGCTGCATGTTTGCATGCTAAAGTCATTTCAGTCATGTCCAACTCTTTGCAACCCTATGGACTGTAGCCTACCAGGCTCCTCTGTCCATGGAATTTTCCAGGCAAGAATACTGGAATGGGTTGCCGTTTCCTTCTCCAAGGGATCTTCCCAACCCAGGGATCCAGCCCACATCTGTTATATCTCCTGCATTGGCAGGCCGGTTCTCTACCACTAGTGTTACATGGGAAGCCCCTTTTAATGCTAAAATCTCTGAAAACAAGACCAGAATACCTTAATAGGACTAAAGCCTCAGTCAGTCTGGTTTTAAACAAGAAGCAGTGTTAGATTGCTATGACTGACTTTGGTCTAATGCCTTACCCTGTCCCCTGTCTGTACCCCTCCTTCATGGGGCATCCCACATCGATTCTCTAGGAAGACGTGATGTATCTTATGTAAGCCAGTGACTTCTATGTCTCTGGCCTTATCATTTTCAACATTAGGTTTGACCAAACTTAAATCCGTTTGGAAGTGGGTATGTCAAATTGAGATAAATAGTTCATCGATTGGCAGCTCATCAGTTGGCAGTGCCCACCCCCTCACCTTCTGCTGGAGCTCCTCGATGGTCTGGAAGTAGGACTGGTAGTTGGGGCACACGAGGGGCTCCTGCTGCTGGCTCCGCTCCAGGATGCGGCTCTCCAGCTCCGCGTTCTCCCGCTCCAGCTGCCGCACCTTCTCCAGGTAGCTGGCCAGCCGGTCGTTCAGGAACTGCATGGTCTCCTTCTCGTTGCCGTTGAAGGAGCCCTCGCAGAACCAGTTGCAGCTGCCCACATTGGCGGGGATGTTGCAGGCCCCGGGCAGGGTGGTGCCACAGCAGCTGGAGGGCACGCAGGGCCTGGAGGAGCAGCTGGAGCGGAAGCTCAAGTTGGGCAGGCAGAAGTTGTAAGACATGTTGCTGGAGGGAGCAGCGCTCTGAAGGTCCGTTTCTAAGCCTGGTTCCTTTCTGTGGTGTAAGCCCTGGTCTTCTCCAGGTCTTTATATTCTGTCAGTGGTGGGTGTGGTAGCCACGCTTAGCGTTACCCCTTTTTGCCCTCTCTACCAATTTTTCCATGTTATTTAGCCACCTCACGCGAGTCCTTTACCTCATAAAATGTTTTACTCGGGCTTCTTGCTAAGTCAGGACTCATCAACAATCATGCTGGTTGGTTAAGGAAGAGCTTCAAAGTGACCCACCCATATCTTGCCAACAGCAGCGCTTACTCATGGGCTATAGAGTTAGTGATAGCTATGCCCTGTCCTCCAGAGTTGGGGGCACTTCTTCTACACAAGGAAAGGTCAGTGGCTCATCTACCTCATGCTCAGTAAAGACTCTGTGAGAAAAAGCCGACTATTCGGTAGGGAATCCTGAAAGTTGAGATCAGAAAGGATTATGAGGTCATCCTGTCCAAGGTCCTTTTGCCAGGTGGAGGCAATTCTACCCTCTTCCTAGGGGGCTTCAGGAAGCCCCCCAGGCTCCATTTCTGTTATTACTCAATGTTCACAGAACATTAAGAAAACTAACATCTTGGGATCATCTACTCTTCAGGAAGATTTTACTCTGTGCTTATACAAAGTATGACATTTGTTGACTTAAAAAATACTCAGAACCTAAAAGTTGAGGGCTATGTTTTATTCAGCAGGAATTTTTAGGACTTCAAGCCTGGGATACACCATCTCAAGTAACTCTGAGAGAAATGCTTTGAGGAGGCAAGGTGGGGAGCCAGATTATACATAAATTTTGCAACAAAGGGCCAGTAGTCTGAATGTCAAAGGTTATTGTTAAAGGAAAACCAGATATCCCAAGTTAAGGAATTTAGTACTTTCCTATGTATGAGAAGATGCTAGAGTCTGGGCTCACTGAAATCATTCCTTTGATATGCATCTCGGCTCTCTGGGGCCAGTATCCTGCAATTTCACATCCTGAGTTTCCTCAGGGCTCATCGAGGGGAATGGCTGCAGTCTGATGGCTAGTTGGCAGGTATTCTTTCTTTCCTGAGTTCCTTCAGGGTTCACCAGCTCACCAACGGTGGTGACTGCAATCATTGAAGATTATGACACCCTTTGTTTACTGATATGGCAGGGAATATCCATTTCTCATGTTGTTAGAATGGCTTCTGCTTACTGGGAACCCACTGTGCTAAGCACCTTATTTATACTGTCTCTTTAAGTCCACACATAACACTGCAGGGTTTGCAAATGAGGACACCAAACCTTTGAGAGATTGTTCAAGGTCACAGAGCTCTTGCGTGGTGGAGCCAGCATTAAAACCCCCCACTTCTCTGATTCCAATGGCCTTGCTCTTTTCTTCACACTATCTCCCTCTTCCAATCTTCTCTCTACTGAGATGCAATGATGCACAGAAGGGTTGAGTGCAATGGGGCTCAACCACTATTAGGCAATATCACCTCCTAAATTACAATTGGCCAAGAATTAAAAGTTTGTTCTCTATCGAAGAACCAAAGGTCACTTCTATTCTAGTTAAAGGAAGTCTACTAAAAGAAAATGTAACACCCACTAAAAGCTTGGGGGTAAGGGAGATTTACTGGGTTCAATGTCAAAATGGCTGATCCCAGTTTTCCAAATGATGTGCATGCTATGTGTGCCAAGTCACTTCAGTCGTGTCCTACTCTTTTTGACCCTATGGACTATAGCCCACCAGGCTCCTCTGTCCATAGGATTCTTCAAGCAAGAATACTGGAGTGGGTTGTCATACCCTCCTCCAGGGGATCTTCCTGACCTGGGGTCAAACTCAAGTCTCTTACATCTGCATTGGTAGGTAGGTTCTTTACCACTAGCGCCACCTGGGAAGCCCTTTCCAAAGGACGTGACTCTAAAAAAAGTCATCACATTAAGTTACATGCTTTTTTTTTTTTCAGTTAAGAATTATGTTTTATCCAGTGGACTTCCTGAGGGATTAAGCCCAGAAGACAGCCTCTCAGAGAGCTCTGAGAGACTGCCTCAAAGGGGTAAGGGAGGATCCAGGATGTATGGGAGTTTTGCAATAAAAACTAGGTAGTCAGGATATCAAAGGATAACTGTTAATTAAAGAAAACCAAATGTCTCAAGTGAATGAATTTAGCACTTTTCTAAGTATGGGAAGATGTAAGAGTCTGGGCACAGTGAAATCATTCTTTTGATATGCACCTCAGCTATCTGAAGAATTGATGCTTTTGAACTGTGCTACTGGAGACGACTCTTGAGAGCTCCTTGGACAGCAAGGGGATCAAACCAGTCAATTCTAAAGGAAATCAACTCTGAATACTCATTAGAAGGACTGATGCTGAAGCTGAAGTTCCAACATTTTGGCCACCTGATTCGAAGAGCCAATTCACTGGGAAAGACTCTGATGCTAGGAAAGACTGAGGGCAGGAGGAGAAGGGGGTGACAGAGAATGAGATGGTTGGATGGCATCATCAACTGAATGGGCATGAGTTTGATCAAACTCTGGGAGATAGTGAAGGACAGGCAAGCCTGGCATGCTACAGTCCATGGGGTCGCAAAGAGTCAGACACAACTGAGAGTGACTGAACAACATTTGGGGACATCATCCTGTTTTTCTCCATCCTGAATCCCCTCAGGGGATGGCTGCAATGTCTGATATCTTGTTGACTGCAACATAAGTTATGTGACATTCTTCATCCTCCGAACCAAAGTACCTGATCAATTAACACACAAAAGTCTTTTAAGATAAAGGCCTGCTCAAAGGAGGCACTAGAGAATGACTTAAATAGGGCTAGTACATGACCATTCAGTCATGTTTGACTCTTTGCCACCCCATAGACTGCAGTCTGCCATGCTTCTCTGTCTGTGCGATTTCCCAGGCAAGAATGCTGGAGTGGGTTGCCATTTCCTTCTCCAGGGGATCTTCCCAACCCAGGGACTAAACCAGCACTCTTGCATTGCAGGTAGGTTCTTTACCACTGGTGCCACCTGGGAAGCCCCTAAATAGGACTAGTTTTTGTTAAGTAAACATTGTGCCTCCCTTAGATTTAAATTACATGCTTTATTGGCATTTCAAGACCATCTATATATTTTGGCAAACATATTCTACCCTTTTGCTATTCCAGATGGAGATATGAAACAAGAGGATTTTATGTTCAGTCTATCAGTGAGAAAGATATGAAAAATACTCCTTAAAGTAGCTACTTTTAGTAGCTAAAGTTCCTTTTAGTAGCTACATGCTAATTCCTCCCATATAGCCTTACTCAGATCACCCCTTCTTCTAACTTGCTCTCACTGGACTCTTTCTTTTGGTTATCCTCACTGAAAGCAAGTCTTCATCTCCAAGAGAGTGTGCTTATCTTGGGAACCAGTCCAGTGAGTTGGATAAAAACCAAACTGAATAGCATCTTCAGTGGGTCAGATACACATTGTGACTGTAAAATTATAATGTATGTTTTCTTGGGTGATTCTGAAAGTCATTTCCAATGTGGAATTTCAACAATGTATTCATAAAAGACAGCAGCATTGGAATATACTTGTATTCTTCCAGAAGGTATGTTTTTGATGGGGACAAAGTAGATAATTATATAGTTCATCCCACTAGAGAATTATAAGTAAAGAAAGAGTATAGAAGACCCTGTAAGTTAATGATTACTCAAGAAAGCAGGTTTGCTTAACCATAAAACAGCAGGCATGCTTAGCAACAAAAAAAATCATGCAGCAGAAGCATGAGACATGACCCAAAACAACAAAACAGTGGTGTCATAAGACCCACATTCTGCCCAGTGAGTTCAGTAAGTTAATGACTCCTAAGATATGCTCTCTACACAGATAAAAAATGATGGAAAGGTGACATTTCAAAGTAAACATCCTCATTATACTGAAACCTGAAATAATTTTTCCATTGTGCCATGACAGTTCTGGCTTGACCATATAGAGACAAGAAAACCCCCCAACCCAACTTGGAGGAGGAGCTGATGATGGAAGCATGATGTCTACTCAAGAATGAGGAAGAAAGTGGTCTTTTCCCCCTCTTCACTTTTTCCTTTGATTATGAAACTGTAGCCCTCTAAGTTCTCGGGGAAGCACCCTCTTGTCCACCCACTTGTAATCCTCACAAGTATCATATTCTAATAAATCACTTCTTATCTATCAGTTTGTTTCTTGCTGAATTCTTTCTGGGCTAAGACATGAAGGACCAGAGGTCTTCAGAGCCCCCTGAAATGCCACCTGGCGGTTTCATTTTGAAGGTAATTATATCCTCGCCCACATTCACAATCCACAATCTGCTCCTCCTGCCTGAATCTCTACCTTTAGAGAGATGTGGAACAGGTGTGTTAGTTCAAAATCACTACCAAATTAACTGAAGCATTCCTGGACAAGATCTGATAATGTAAAGCCAATTTGTTTTGTTATTATTTGTTGTTTTGTTGTTATTTAGTCACTCAGTCTTGTCCAATTCTTTTGCAACCCTATTGACTATAGCCCTCCAGGCTCCTCCATCCATGGGATTTCCCAAGCAAGGATACTGGAGTGGGCTGCCATTTCCTTCTCCGGGAATCTTCCTGACTCAGGGATCAAGCCCAAGTCTTCTGCATTGCAGGTGAATTCTTTATCTCTGAGCTATCAGGGAATAGCTGAGTTCATTAGCTTTTCTCTTTCTCCCCTTCTTCAATACCCCAAGCTTCGAAAGATAAAAATCTAGACAACGGTACTTTTTAAAGAATAGGAAAGGAATAGTGTGTTGTAGACTGGTAAATATGTCCATGGGGATCCCTATAACCATTACTGTAGCTTTCATCTCAATTAGGATGTAATAATACAGAAATAAGTATACTGTATCTTCAAAAGTGGAGGGCAATGTTTAGAAAATACAACCATCCCACATCTTGCAAAGAAGTAACTATGATCACTACATAGTGGTCATTAGATGATGGTTGAGAGGACCTATATCTATTGAGAAAACAGCC